TGGGACTGGGGTCTTAAAGGCACAGGCCAATTCCTAGCCTGTCAAAGCTTAATCCCTGCAGCTCCTCTCTATCCTATACAAGTGTTGCAGGGCCAGGGCTGCCCGGGGGGAGGGGGGGCAAGTGGGGCAATTTTCCACAGGGGCCCCCACGAGTATGTCGGAGGCTGCCCCCACCTCCGTCTTCCCCCAAGCCCCTGTGTCTCAGCGTGCCGCGTCCGGGAGCGGCCCTGGCGCGCTGCAGCGCCGTGGCTCCAACGCTGTCCGAGGCCGCTCCTGGACGCTGAATCCTCTGGGCAGCCCTGGGCAGGGCTACGTTACTGCTCCAGCCAGGAGACTGAATGCGGTGAAATATTGTACAGACCCTCCCTCCCTCCAACTCTGCCTCTCACATTTTGAATATGTAAAAGTGTCTTCTATCAATTTCTATGTCTATATGAAATCGCTGCAGCTCCTTTCTCTTATATAACGTGCTGAGTTGCTAACTCCCTCCCAGAGCCCACATATCCGCACCCCCTCCTGTACCCCAATCCCCTGCCCCAGGTCAGAGCCTGCACCCCTCACTCAAACTCCCCATAGCCTGCAACCCTCCTGCACCCCAACTCCATCCCAGAGCCTGCACCCCAAAAAGGGCTGGATTAACCTTTTGTGGGCCTGGAGCTAAACATATTTGTGAGCCCCCATGGGGGAAATGGGGACATGGGGCAGGGGGGCAGAGTCCTCAGAGCGACGGGCTGGCCGGGGGCAATGGGAGATGGGTCATGGCACGGCAGGGACAGCCCCGTTCCACCCAGCGCAGTACAAGGGCACTGTTTACAAACCGGAAGCTGCCAGACGCACACTGGCCAGCCTGGCCCTGCGCTCCCGTCGTACTTCTTCCCCTTCGGGGCAGTCCCATGCTGCACCATGCTATGCCCCTGACTCCCTATGCCCAGTGCCACACCACCCAGAGACCCCCACAAACCTCCATGCCCAGTGCCCTCCCACAGACCACTCCCCCACCCACTCAGAACCCCCCCACAGGTCCTCTCACTGCCCAGTGCCCCCTAGCTGGAGACCCCCCACAGTCCTCCCACAACTGCACAGTGCCCTGCACCTCCCCGCTCAGAGCCCCCCACAGATTCCCTCACTGCCCAGTGCCCCCCACCGCCCCACTGCCACAACTGCACAGTGCCCCGCACAGACCCCCGCACATTTCCCAGCGCCCCGTCACACACAGATCTCCCCACTGCACAGCGCCCCCAACACACACAGATCTCCCCACCCCCCACTGCACAGCACCCCCCCCTCCAGACCCACTAGAGACCTACTCTCCCACACCCTAACCCCCAGCCACAACAGCCGGCCCTGAGGGGAGGTGACTGTGTCTGCCAGGCTGAGCCGGCAGCGCAGCCAGAGCTTGTCCTGGGGCAGGATAACTCCGGCCCTTGGGGGTGCAATCAGCCAGGCTGGAGCAGGAGCAGGGCCTACCCGGGCCAGGCTCCCTCAGGACCCACATGCCTGGCAGGACCCAGCTGAGCCGCCGTCCCCTGTGACTGGCTGAGACTGGCCCAGCCTCTGCACCAGTCCCGGGTGGCTCTTTCCCTGGGGGGGCAGGTGGGGCCCCACAGGTCCCAGGCAGTGGAGACAGCTCAGAGCTGGAGCAGTGCTGGGGAGTGGGGCAGATCCCTGGGACGTGACTCCCGAGATCCCCCCCACACCCATTGGCCCCGTGGCCAGCAGCCCTGCCGAGCCCACATGGTGGCCCCCAGCTGCTGGGTGATGAGCCCCCTACAGCAGCGGCATAGCCAGGTTCTCACATCAGGGATTTCGTGTATAGTGAGTGTATTATATACAAATCAGGTAGTAGGGTTTACAATGTTCTAACAAGAGATTATGCTATTACCATTCTCCAGTCAACTTGCACACCACTCTTTTGAATTAGTGATAACTGAGAGAGAGAGAAAGAAAAAAGCTGAATTTAGAGAATAATTATTAACCAGATTCTTGGTTATTCACCAGCCACTTTGCTCCAGTCCATAGCACACAGCACCATAAACCCAGTAGAATCTGGCCAAGAGAATATTCACCTCCAATTGGCATCTGCTACACTCCCCCCCATTCCCAGTCCCCACTATTCAGGAGATAGCAATCGGCCAATAGATCAGTTTGGCACATTAGCCAGGAGGAAGCAGGTCGTGAGTGTTTTTGACCACAAACCCCATCCCTCCTGATTCGCAGCCCCATGGACCAGGCGGTAGCAAGTAGCCCAGATGGGCACGTTGCTGGCGGAAACCGCACCCAGTTGCAAAACGGGAAGGTTTCTATACGTGTCGTCACACCTGGGACGCAGAATGAGCCCCCTCCCCCGCCCGCCACGGGTCTGTGTGTAGCCAGGCGGGTGCCTGCCGGGGGGGGGGGCGGTGTTCTAGGGGTTAACGCTGCACCCCCCCCCAGGCTGGAGTTTGTGCAGAGGTGCGAGGCTGGGACCTGGGGCCTCTACGATCTGCTCCCCCCAACCTTGTCTGCGGGTGGGAGGGGGCGATAGGGGAGGTTCCCCTTTGGGAGTCTCCAGCCCCCCTGGTTCCGCGGCGCCCCTGGAGCAGGGGGGTCACCTGCTCCCTGCTGGGGGCCAAGAGCGACCCGGCGATGGCGGGGGGAGAGAGACCCGGGACCGCCCATCACACAGCCCCCCCCCGCCTCCCCCATGCACCTGGCCCCTCTACAGGTGGGGCCTGTCCCCGGCCCCCCATTTACCTGCCCCCCGACACAAACTCCAGGCTGCGGCTCAGTTCCGAGGCTTTTATTGAGGTTATTGGGGGGGAGGGAGATTTGGGAGGGGTCTGGGGGAGGGACGTTGGGGGGAGTGGGGGAGGGGCCTGGGGAAGGGGGGAAGGAAGAAAGGGGTTGGGGTGGGGGAAGGGCGGTGAGGGGGATTTGGAGGGAAGGGGCTGGGATCCGGTAACAGCTCCAGGACCTCCAGGTCGGGGGCAGCAAATCCGGACACCGCCCGGTCACCCTGCGAACAAAGAGAGCATAAGTGGGAGACAGCCCCCGCCCCCATGGAGCAACTTGCTGCCCAACCCCCTTCCCCCACGGCGCCCCCCTACCAAGCACCCCCACCCCACTCCCTGCCCCATGGCGCCCCCTGCCGAACCCCCACCCTGACCCACAGTGCTCTCTGCTGAGCCCCCCACCCCGTCCTATGGAGCCCCCCTGCTGAAACCCCCACCCCACCCCACGGTGCCCTCTGCTGAGCCCCCCGTCCCACAGTGCCCCCTCTGAGCCCCCCACCGTGCCCCTTCTTGCTCTTACCGGCGAGCTGCAGGCGCACGAAGAGCGCTTGGGACCGACCCCTGGCGCGGATGACGACGGTGAAGCTCCCGTTGTCCTGGGGGGTTAACCCCACAATGCGCAGGGAGCAGTCGCCCCCCAGGGTTTCGCGCCCCGTGGACGCCGGCCCCTGGCTCTGCATGTCCGGGGAGGTGAAGGTCAGGATCCGATCGGTCTCGGATGTGGAGCTTCTGCGGTACCAGGTGCAGCTCTGGGCGACTCCCCGGGCCCCCCCCACCAGCAGGGTCACCGTCTGCCCCACAGTCGGGTGGGGGGGCACCACTGCCACCCCAAAATCAACAGCGCCGGCCAGTGGGAGGCAGGAGAACAGGACACAGACTGCGGGGGGGAAGGGCGGGAGGACGTCAGAAATGGGAACCCCCCAGCTCTGCTGGTGCCCCTCACTCCCGACTCGCAGCTCCTTCCTATCCCAGTCCTGCCCCCCTCACTCACCTGCCAGGATTGGGCCTGTCCAGGAGCTGGCCCAGGTGTGGGCGTGGGGGGCACCTGGGAGATGCCCCATGTCCAGTCTGTGCTGGGGTTGAACAGGCTGAGCGGGGAGGGTGCCCGGCGGGTGAATCCTGGTGCGGCGGAAGGGCAGGGATGGGTGCGGGGGGGGGAGTTGCCCAACAGGCCCCAGGGGAGGGGATGTTGGGTAAGAAAGAAACCGACAGAGCAACGGAGTCCTGCCCCCCCGTCCTCTCTGCCCCCCCCATCCTCTCTGAACCCCGCCCCAGGCCACAGGCCCCACTACAACACACCCGAGTCCCTGCCCCCCCACACTCTATACCCCCCCGTCCTCTCTGCCCCCCTGCACTCTGTATCCTGCCCCCGTCCCCACTGCCCCCC